GCTTTAAGGTCCCTTCCCACCCAAACCATGGGATCCTTCTTGCTCCAGAGGGTCACCTGTGGAGCCTCTCCAGGCTGTCCTTGTGCCTGTGCTCAGGTCTCCCTGTGCTCTGCTGTGCCAGGCCCTGTGATCCAGCTGCCTGCACAGCCCTGTGCCAGGGCACCCTCAGCACACTGGGGTAAAACCCTGCTCAGGGGGGGTTTGGAGGGGAATCAGTTCCTGGAGAGCAGGAGCAGCTCAGTCCTGGCACTGCCACGGCTTCAGTGCTGCACCAAGAGACCTTGCAGGTATTTGAAATTACTCCTGGAGATCCCAGATAAGGGAGATCTCAATCAGTGCTGGTGTGAAGCCCTGCCAGGAGAGCAGCTCAGCAGTTCCACAGAGAGCTGACAACAGTCTCCACTCCAGGGGGGTTTCATTCCCACTGCAGTGAGGGGCCCTTGGCCATGGCTGTGATGTTCCCTCCCCTCTGGCTGTGCAGGTCCCCTTCCCCTGGGGACACTGGAGGGTTTGCCTCTGTTCCAATGAGCTGTTGTCCTTGTTCCTGCTGCCCTGCCCAGAGCCCTTGGGAAGGGGAGAAGGAGCTCAGCAGAGCTGGCAGGTCCTGCCCCAGGGCCCTTCCTGCAGTACCTGCCGGGCAGGTTGTGCTGAAGATGGAACTCTTGTCCTCTTGGAACAGTCTCTGAGCCCATTCCGTGTGAAAGGGTTTGGAAAGGCATTGCAATGAGTGATTTCACACTTATTAAGTAATAAATTTTCTGTCTTTTGCAGCAGTTCCTACGTCTGCACCAACTTACCCGTCCTGGCGTGGGCCTGTGCCAGCCCCACATGAACAAAACTGCTGTGCCTGGGCTGGGGCTGGCAGAAAGTGCTCCAAGGGCTGTGAAAGCTGTCTGGGAGCAGTGCAGAGAGTGACTGTGCCCTCCTTTTGCCTCCCCTCTGTCGTTCCCACAGGGAGATCCTGCAGGAGATCCAGCGGCTCAGGCTGGAGCACGAGCAGGCCTCTCAGCCCACCCCCGAGAAGGCCCAGCAGAACCCGACCCTGCTGGCTGAGCTCAGGCTGCTACGGTAAAAACAACCCCTGCCTG